ATGGGAATCAGCGCTGAGATCAACAATATCGTTTAAAGAACAGCAACACCATTGATCCGATCTTAACCCGACAGTGTTCGCTCGGTATCCCATTGTATCACTAGTAACAGGAACAGGAGGCATTGAAGAATGGCGAGCTCTTCCGTCTGCCCTCTATCCCTTCACGGTGAGCTGCCTATTCGAGGAGACGCAGAGAAAACGACAAAAACGCTGAGTCACTACACAAGCGGTTGACAACGGTCCTGTAACCCGTAAAATGTACAGTTGTACGAGCTTGTAAGTTGCAGACTGGATCACATAATCGACGCGACATAAAAAACAGCCAGCTGGTGCTTACCGAGTTTTCATTGTGAATGTTCTCATATAAACTGAAATGGTTCACTTTGAACAATACTCATAGAAGGGTGAAATGTAGTGTGGAGGGAGAACAGGAACGAAAATTCAGTCCGGCACTCGGTTCTTACAGTAATCCGGCACGTGTTAATACGCATATTTTTACCCGTCACATATACGACGCGTCGAAAAGGGGCTTTGGGCAAGGACACGGGGGTGGCCAGGGGGTTACTATAAGAACCGAGTGCCGGACCGAATTTTCATTCTAGTGGAGGGAGAGGGCTCCGCTGTATTCTAACATTGAGTGCTAGAGTGTAGATTCGTAATTCGTAATCGACTTAGCGAAAGCTAGTGGTGTTAAGGAACATTTCCTAGCCGAGATGTGTGGTTTTTTCCAATCAAGCTTCAGGAGGGAAGGAGCACGGAGGTGAGTCAATTGAATGTTTGAGTAATCACCTAATTCACCCTGGTGCTCCTCTATTAAGGCTCAGGGAAAACCTAAATACCTTCGGCTGAAACTGTTTCCAACCATGAGCACAAGTAAAGTCGGCTACCTTTGTATAAATGCGGTGACCACCTCCTTCGACTACTTGGACAACTCCCGTCATCTTAAGGGGAACGAAACAGGAGCTCCTGGTCCATTGCTTCGTAGTAAAGCGGCCAAATTCTTCGGGAAAGTTGCAATAACCCATTAATTCGACTACAAAATGTTCCATACCAGCCAAGTAGCCAACCATCTGCGGTCCCGCGGTTCAGTGCCGCTCAACAACAACTGTGTTGACAAATACGGATGATTTTACCTAGCCGCAAAAGTTCATTGCTGTTGAGTTTATCACGAAATAGAAAAAAAGCAAAAGCAGCATGAATCAAAAAAAGTTATAAATAGTAAAAGAAGCTAGGATATGGCCATTCGAGAAGCTACAGCTTTTGCTTAACCATGGCGAGGAACGAGTAGGAATTGGCGCCCTAGGCGCTTCAATCCTGGCTTCCTTGCCCATCGGTAGCAAAAAGGATCGCTTCAACCAGACTAACGGCCTCACAGCGATGAACACGACTACCGATCGAAAGAGTAGATTCAGTTGGGGCGCCTGAGGATGGATGTTTGGCTAAAAGTTAGCGGAACTTTCCAACGATTACTACGGTTTTCATAAAATTTGTCCTCACTTGAAAGCCGCCCGTCAGGGAGATACTGTGACCTAGAGACAGCATAACCTCCAAAACTGACCCTACAGCTTACACAACGCAATCTCTGCTTTAATCCTGCGATGAACCCGGTCCCTAGGGGGCACAGCTACAAGGTCACCCTCTAATCTACACATCTACCTTGCTTGAAGAGGACAATAGCCCCGTTCGTCAGCGGGACTGTCCCTCAATCACTTCTTATTATAGGCTGTGGGCGGAACCAGCTAAGACAGTTCTTTCCATCGCTAATAATAAAGAATGACAGCTCAGAGCTTGAACGTCAAGCTAGCCAAAACATTGAAATTACGGTAACCTTTCCGAGTTTTGTTCTTCATTTCAAATGTCTTTACAACAGCACTTCCTTTCCTAACAATTCAAGCAATACTTAATATCGCTTAAATAAATGAAAATTATTTCACAGGAATATGAACCACATCTGAGCGGATTGCGAGTCGCACTCGTTAAATCGTCTAAAAGCAGCTACTATCTGCCCTTATCCCTCCAATCACTTACGAGAGCGACGCAATCCGACCATTTTCAAAGAAAAAAAAAACAAACAAATCAAAGACATGAAGAGTGCGGTTGCAGTGTACTGGGAAATCTTACAGTATCCTATCAGAACACTTCCACTTTTCCATCATAACTTAAGGTTTAACCAATGAAAAATCCCTAATTTTGTAAACATTTAGGATTGCACTGGGGTGCATATCACGTCATTGGAGCAAATCCTTTCAGAAAATGCAATTTTTACTTTGGACACGAAAAATTTGATCACGCCCATAGTGACCATGTAGCTTTTTTGGGAAGTGCCCATGCATGAACAGATGAAACGATCGATGAAAAAAATGTCTTCATGAACTGGGCCTTCAACCGAGCTGTGATAAGGCAACACGTCTTTTACAAACACGGAATTTCACAACAACGAAACAACAAAGCAGAAATATAACCTTTTCTATTATGAAACCAAAGAAAACGTGTGGGGAAACAGGAAAAAAACCATATGCGAATGGGAACGGGTGAACGGAGATAAAAGAGGGAACGAGGGACGAGTTCCGATCAAAACAGAACGAGATACTTTTAGTGAGTAATCGTCGTAATAATGACAGTCATATTATCGCAACCAGTACCATCGCCGGCTGTCGTTGGCGCCAAACAATGATCGCAAAGCTGAAAATCTGCTATTTTGCAAAGTAAAAGTTTTTTCTTGATCGTGCCATAACAAAAAAATGTGTCATACAGTAAAATACCGCAGGGGAGACGACGCAGGAGCAAGTGGCACGTTACCACACGTATGGCCCGGGTATAGGATCTCGGATCAATATCCGCCCAAGCCAAACATACCTTCCATCCCTCCGGGGCCGGTGAACATGGTATCAGTCATTCTACAGGCCACATACGCAACCGTAGCACCACTACGATTATAAATGGAAGCAACTACCAGAGACGGGGATGATTAACGTCACCCTTATCCTTCAGAGTGAATAGTTCCAGTAGTTTTACACGCCTCTTTCTCATACCTATGGGAACCGCGCGTCGAAGTTGAACAACTACGATCTCAGATGTTTCTGCCACTCACAGATAGAAAACCTTTTTGTCACCGATGCTCGTTTTGTAAATTTCACTTGAACCACCATTGCATTTGTGTTTGAACTGCTTGAAGTCTTGCCGAAATAAATCGCTTCCCCAGAATTTGGATCAGTTGTGTCCCATTGAATTGGTCAAAATTTTTCGACATCATTGGGTCACGCAATGTCAAAGAATTTGGCAAACAATAATATTCAGTAAACAACTGACCTCTGATGAAATATCCACGCAAGACTTTCCTTGCTTTAGTCGATCTCGTATAAAATCTACAACCTGTTGGGAGTTGAGTGAATTCCTGAAAAAGACTATTAATACGCAGATTAGTCGAAAGGAGTAGTTCCAACAAACTCTGCACATTAATCTACAGAGCCACAGCCTTTTTCGAAGAAGATTTCGCAAAACACTTCGAAAGAGCCGATAAGAATGTTGTGATGGAAAAAGAAAAAGCTCAATGGGACGTATAAAAACATTTCAACGAAACTTGCCATGTGTAAGCATCCGAAAAGCGAATGGAAAAAACTAGAAAATATATGCCTCTGGCTACAGTGGTACTAACAATCTACGGTGATACTCAAATCTCTCTCTGGGATAAAATAAAGCTGAATGTTCTTCCTTTGAGATCCTTTCCAGACTCGAACAGCAACGGTGCAACGCAAGGCCACATTGACGATGGTGGTCAAAGAAATGAATGAAAATAAGAAAATTTTGTAAATATAATATAAGGCAGAGACCAAGACGGGACCGTAGCACGTCACACCGCTTCTACTATCATGACTGAAACCCAGCTTCAACATCTGACCACGTCATCAGAGAATTACGTGCTTGCTTGATCAGCAAGCATTGGTTTTGTTTGTGAGAGAAAGGAGATATATCAACTGCTCTCGTACCCCAACCTAAACCACAACGTAGGCAAAGTGCGTATACGGAGGCCATTAAGCCTCTCAGCATAAAAATCGATCGGACATGGTCAATCATGTATCGGCGCGTTCCGATCCATGAGCCACTTATCTCCATAAATTTAACCTTCATGTTGGAAGATACACAAGGAAAAATGAAGGGGATCCAGTCAAAGCTATGCGACACAATAAAAAACGAATTGGAACAGCGGTAAACTGAGATGCATGGCCTATGACATTGTCTTCGATCGAACTTTACAACTTAAAACCGTCTCTTGATATGAATGAGTACGAGTTAAACATCACATCGATACGCCTCACAAGCAAACATGAAAACAAAAACCAAATGAAAAAAATAATCAGAAGGAACACTCACCAAATTCCATCACAAGCTATAACAAGAAATTCATCGCTCGGTTGTAACGTCTCTATTTTGACGTCGGGTAATGCTCTGAAATTCGAAGCGTGACCTAAGTAAAAGACTCCTTTTAAGAAAAATTACAAAAGGTACTAACTCAATGTATTGCCACGATAAAAGGAACTCACGTAATCATTTGATCCCGTAATGGTAAATCCGCATTCTTTTTATAACTATGATCACCGAAAGCACGTGATAAATTCAAGCCACCATTTACTCTGTAACGCAAAAATATGTGGACCCATCATTTTTCAATTTCGAATTAAGTTAAGAATTTGCTGTGAACTTTCCTCCCCATCCTCTTACCAAATAATTTTTGGGTCATATTACTATTGACGTAAAAGATGCTAACAGCTTCCCTTCACTCTGACAAAAAACGAGATCACAAGAGAAGACGTAGTCGTCTACGAACGTACCGCCCATCTTCATTTACAAATCCACCGGCATTTATGATACGCGTTTTTTCAATGTCATCTTCAGGCTTGTGATCCATAGAAAGATCGATCGCCGTACCGCCTCGGCATAGTACCGCTCGAGAATCACCGGCATTCGCTACTACAATCTGTAATTCATGGAATAAATCTACACTTGAATATAGAACAGAGATTATCAGAAACGCAAAAAATGAAAGTGCATTGATTTTATGTTATAATCATCAAAATGGTATTCAAAACAGAAGAAAGGAAGGAGCAGCCTCACCCTCTCCTTATTCATGAGACACACACAAGCCGTCGTCCCTGAGTCTTCTCCAGGTGTTTCTAATCCACCAGGTATCGCAACTTCCTGAAAGAGTGTTTATAGTATTAAAGATCATTTTGCACCTGAACACTCGCAATGCTTACGTACCTACGTAACAAACTCCTCAGAAAGCAAATAGGAGAAAGTAAAAGCTAACAAAAAACTATTCTTGTTGAGTAACTGAACCAAATAATCGAATAACAAGGCTTTGAACTCACATCACCGTCTTCGTCGGACTCGTTCTCCTCCTCATCTTCACACTCTTCATCTTCAGCTTCTTCCTCTGCTTCATTGAAGTCGGAGTCATCTTCAGATTCGTCATCCTCGCATATATCACTGCATAACCATTTTTTTAGCCTCTCGCACAAGGAGCATTAATGATATCAATAGTATAACCATCTATATCATTCATTGCTTTGAAAACACGAAAATTGGACTCAGCACCAAGATTTTTCCTAAAAACTAATGGGAAAGTCTCTCAATAAGCTTCTGCATACTATTCCGAAGCATATAATGCACTAGTTCTACGTGCTTGACCGATTTCGATACACACACTTCTCATTGATTAAGTTGTCAGGCAGTTCGATAAGCAACTAGTAACATGGCCTTCATGATTCCTCAAAATAGCCTTCTTTAAGCGGATATCCTACCTTTACAAGGCATGTATAACTCCCAAATACGGGCAAAATTTCAGTGAACACAAAATTTTAACCGGTCCTCAGATAAAACAAACATGTATCAACATTAAATCCAATGCCACTAGAAGTTCCGTGACACTGGGTGAAGTTGTTGAAGATATTCTTGGTTCTTCTGTTCGAGTGGGCACTATACTCTGCACAGCACTCAGAAATTCAGAAAAACCAGAGATATGATACCGATTAGCCTAGCACAAAGATTTCATTTATGTAGATAATTTGGCGAAACAAAATGCACCGTTACTTACTGTGCAACAGTTTTCTTGAGCCTTTTTGGTAAATTTCGGAAACTTCGGATGATTCCTTGAAGTGATTTCCGGAAACAAAAATCATCCATCACAGATCACCCATTTTAGGATTTTCACTCTATTCTAATTATGCGAAAGTTATACCGAAAATGGATGTTGCCCCACAGACTCAAAATGGAAGTAATATGAAAAATAAGGAAGAATAAAAAAAAACTTACGCGATCCCGTCATCAGCCTTCTTTTCGGCGTTCACTGGCACTTTTTTCTGTTTTGTCTTAATTATTGGTGGTGTTTGTCCATTTCCTTCAATATTTTTATGGTCATCTGCTGAGTGATCGTCATCGTTGGAAGAGTTATTCGTATTACTGCAATAGGTACAGATTAAACAATGTAAACTGCAAGAGATTTTTAAGGATTAAATTTTAGACCTGACAACCGAGGGCTCAGTGGGCGCCTCCTTCGCCTCACTAACGGAATCTGTGCTCTCATTGGCATTCACCGCAGCACTGACAGTGTCCCCTTCGCCATCTGTATTGATCAGCATGTTCAATATACTTCCTAAGGAGATATTTTTTATAGAAGCAAAAATCTGCCCGAGATTAGTGTAGGCTAACAACGCTCTAAGACGTTCTATCAATACTCCCTTAATGATAAAGACCGACTTTTTCTTCTAAATGACGGACGATTTCTCGCTTTATCACCTGTCCCGAAAAGTCTCGGGATCAGAAGTTGTACTTTCAAAAAAGATTCCCATTCTGACAAGATTATGACAAGCAAGCGCTAACTCGAAACAACTTTTAACCCCCAAGGTTTAAGCAAGGAATAGTTACGACAAGCGTCGTCCCATTCCAGCACAATTCATTCACTACTCCCAAAAAGGATGATGCTGCTCGAAATTCTTATGCCTTTACTGAAGGTAATAAATTTGCGGAACTAATAGCATTAGCTCAAGCAACACTTGGGCTTCTGACCCCGTTGAAACAAAAATCTTTGCCCCGACAGTGTATCAGAAGACTTGAAAAGGGTTAGAACGTAGATAACGCTTTCCTTTGAGCCTTTACGAGTGACCTTTGAAGACACAAACATTATTTGAACAAGTAACTGACCGTTTCCCTCGGTTTTGGCACGCTTAGCTGGCTCTTGCGTTGGTGACCGACTTTGTCGTTTGCCTTTCGGGCACTTATCTTCCCCGCATTCCTGTTCCTCATTGTTACAGCACCCTTTCTGCAATCAAATCCAATTTCAGCAACTTAACGATTAGAGAAAGGTGTAAAGCTATGTAACTATAGTGAAAAATAAGATTACCCCATTCACCTCGGCTGAAGGCTTCCCTTTCGAAAGATTTCGTCCTATAACATAACCTTGCCTATAGAATCTGAAAAAAGAGATGGTAGCCTTGAAAACTGTTCAGAGAGTAGCTACATTAAGAAGTGCTAACAGACCGGATCGAGAGAAAGAAGAAAATCAAAGGAAGAGTCCTAAAGTGCGGAAACAAAAGTTGGAGAGCTTGAGCGTGATGAAAATGTTCTATCGCAGTATCACAATAGCTAGTCAAGGGAATCAAACAGCACTCGACAGTTAAAGGGAGGAAACACAGTAGAACTTTTGATTCGCGCGAGACGCGGAATGACCTTAAAATTCAAGAATAAAAAAGTTAGAGGAGGCATCTTCCAGTTACGCGTAGTGAAGCGGATGACCCCAGGGCACAATCTACGTATGGAAACCGGAATAACCAGAAGATATGGGGCAACAACCGAAACGCGAAGAAAAGTGAAAATGTAGAATCGAAATCGATTATCAAACAACGTGAATTGCTCACAGATGCCCGGGTCACGATATGGAATAGGCATATAGAGGAAATGATGTGAAGCGAACTCCATAATAGCCTAATATCTAAGCATCTAATAGCTTACAAGGGAGGTCTTTCAGGGCGTGGGACGCTTTTCGAAAATGGTTTTTTGCATGGTATAGGGGCATGAGCACTGAGTATAAAACTATGGTCCATTTCCGCTAAATGGCCTTCTGAATGCCAAAAAAGGGGTGAAAAAAA